CTGTGTGACTGTTCTATAAGAACTGACTGTAATTAAACCCCAGCTTATTAACTTATCCTAATAAATAAATTCAACACACCAATAAATCAGAATCATAGTTATTTCCAGCTGGCATGGAATTAGAATAAGCTAATAAAATCTCTCATGCACTGATTTAATTGTTTTTTTATATGATGTTACCTTTAGTCTTAGCTCTTTTTATTCACTGGATGAGTTTTTTCCCAGTTGGTTTGTGCTGTTTTTTTATTTTTTTTTTCATCAAGGCAGGGTAAAGTTTAGACTCCCAGATGTGACCTCAGCTTGAATACCCTGTTTGTTTTTATTATCTGGGAGTCTCTCTGGCTCTTTCCCTCCAGACTGACTGCATCTCATCTCAGCCAGGCTTGGTAGCTTATGAGTCTGCTGGCCGCAGAGCAGAATGGATGAATACAGGCAGTGTGATAGAAGTCAGCTGCAGTGGTCCCCTCCCAGCTGAAGGGAGCGTAAACCAGTGAGCTGCTCGGGGTTTGGTCCAGTGCTGCCTCAAGGACAGACTATTGAATCCAAACTGTTGCTCACAAAAAAAAAAAAAGAGAAAAACAATATTCTGTTGCTTTTTTTTTTCAAATAAAGGAATATATTGTGAAAGCCTGATGGCTGAATATTTATCGGATAAAAGTAAGTCTAGATAGAGATAAGAGGGGGATAAAAAGACATGTGTGTGACTATTTTTAAATAGAGCAAAAATATTATACATGAAATCAAAGTAGAAAAATTATCTGCCAATGAACCTACAAATAGATTCATGTGCTAATTTCAGGTTTGTGTGTATATAAAACACTTACATTACATCAAGCCACCTGCACAGTCACCAGATTATTTCAGACCTATTACTCTGCTGCAGTTTAATTACTTGACCATCTGCTTTAAAATCTTTTTGGTCTTCCCTGAGAGTCGAGCTATAAATATATTTTGGCACGGTTATGAAAAAAATCCCACCAAGATGTAAAACAAGTAAATCTTTTTTGAATTTGGTCGTTTATCAGATATTACATTAGGAAATGAACTTTTACGACACTCTTATCACGTCAAAGGTGCTGCATTTGTCTACAAATGGAGTGCTGTTTTCCCTGTCAAACGAAATCCACTTTTCAATCCATTAATTTCTTTCCTCCGATTGCAGTGCACCTGAGCATCCAGTGAGTCGAGCTCATGAAAGAGAGTTGCTGTCTATCTCACATTTCTGTCATCATACTGCCATCAGCAGATCTTGCTTTAGGCAAAACATGATGCAGAAAAAGCAGCTCATGGGTGCCTTCATTATTGAACTAAATGCAAAAAAAAAATAATAATAAAAAAAAAAAAACAACAGCAGTCTATCAGTATATGCAATTGAAAGGTGTCCGCTTTCTGAGTGCCGCACATTCGATGCACGCTAATTTAAAATTTAGGACATGCTAACTTATTCCATTGAAAACTAACAAATGTGCAAATTATCAAAAAAATATTTTATACTGTTTGATTCCAATGCTGCAATAAAGCTATCACAATATGTTTCGGCATGCCATGGAAATGTTCAACAGAAGGGATTGGTGCATAAAAAATTACTATAATTGTGCTTTAATTAGGTCAATAAACAAATAAAAGCTGTAGGGGACATAATAATGTGACTCTGTAGGAGACTGTCATTTATAAAGATCACAGTCCTTTGRCTTTGATTAACTTCGCAGCCTCTTCAGTTTATTGGATCACCAAGAGGTCAACAGTTGGGACCCAGAGGGTTGTAGTGCTTTAGGCCTAATGAATGCAACAACTGCTCTCTGAAGTCCAAGATGTGACTCAGCTTCTCTGCCCCAGCGCATTAATCTTTGTTATTTATTACTGGCCCTGCGGGACACAACTGTGAATAATGTTGTTTACGTTACTAGTGAGAAAAGACAACTGTATTTTTTTAAACTACATACTATGGCTCAACCCATTAAGACTCACAATTGTTCTCATGTATTTTGCACTTTCTTCAATATAGTACTAAATTCCTTAGCACAAATTTGTTGATTTTTATCAAGTTAACACCGTAACAGAGACTAAACATAAAACAAATCATGAAATACTGTATATGGTACATTGAGTGGCTATATTAAACTGTACAAGCTTGTGATAGTTTTTAACTGAACTGTCATTTAAATGTAACTACGCTACGAATGTAGCATAATTATGCAAATCTATGTCCTCATTACAATCTGTTGTCACTTATCAGATCTCGTCTACGGATTTCAGTCTCATGCACACACATTTGCAACCATTCTATGAAGAACAAGGTGGGATGCCGTGTTCAGGAGTTCAGCACTGCTGCAGAGTTGCATCTGCATGTGATGAGTCTCTATGGTCTGCAGTAGTTTTCAAGTCCCTGCCAAGTAAAAGCTTAGCTGGCT